AATTTGCTTCTCCATTCTTGTCGCCAATTTCTATTGTGATAGCGAGTGCTTTCTCCAGATATTCTCGGGACTTGTCATATTGACTAAGCGATTCGAATAGCACTCCTAGTTTTCCGTAGCTTGTTGCTTCTCCATCCCTGTCGCCAATTTCTATTTGGATTGCGAGTGCTTTCTCCCGATATTCTCGAGCCTTGTCATATTGACCAAGCGAACAAAAGATTGTTGATAGGCTTGTATAACATCCTGCCTCGCCCTGTAGGTTGCCAATTGTTTTCATGATCTTGGTTGCTGACTCATAAAATGTTCTGGCTTCCATAAATTTTTTTTGAATCTGAAGTGTTTTTGCCAGTTTCAAATTTAGCCATCCTTTTAGCGAGGTTTCATCCGAGTCTTGGTTTCGGAGGAGTTCCCTGATATATTCTTCTTTATTTGTGTAATCCTTCATACAATCATAAGCATGGAATATTACCTTGTAGATGTTAAGGAACATAAAACTCGCCAATAAACTATCTATAATCAACGCTTGATTTTTTAAAACAATCAGACATTCCTTAAGTAACTCGATGGCTTGCGACGCACGACTTGTGTTAAGAAGGAAGCCGGCGACCACTAAACATAATGTGTAGATGACTTTTAAGATGCGGGCTTCTTTTGTATTGGTCATCTTGATCTTCTTTTTGTAACTTTGAAAAAAAAAAAAGAAAAAGTTAGTGAAAACTTATAAAACTCAAAGATCCAAACTTGGATCGTCCATCAACAAGGAACACATCTTTTCCGTCTGCTGTAACAGAACAGAACACGTTTTATTTGATCCGGTGACTCATGATTAGTTCACAACAAATAAATTCAATTATGTAAGAAGTAGCAAAACTCTCTACAACCCCAGCCTACTGGGCTCTCAGGCTAAGAAGCTCCTGTTGCATGTTGCTGCTTACTGCTTGTTCTAAACTACACACCCCACATCTTAAGTAATGATCACTTTTCTTTGCGACGAACTCACGTCTTTCTAAATTTTAATCTAACCATTTAAAAATGGGAGAGTAGGTTTTCTTGGAACTTCTTATTAAAAATATCTTTTTAATTTAGGTTTTGACATGTTTTAGAAGAATGTTCCATATTTAAATGCCTCTGCCGTACGAGGGCCCTGTATGCCATAGCGCGTTAATTGAAATTTCTTTAATTTTCTCGTTCGATGTAAGAATCATTGTTTCTTTTCAAAAAGGTGGGAACAGTGAGATTTCTATATCTTGTTATGTTGTTATTCTAATATTTTTCCTATGTAGCTTTCATAACGATACTATGTTGGTTAGATTTGTAAAACAGTCTCGTCGGCATTGACTGTAACTTACATTTTGAGGTTAGTAACTTTTCTTGTTTATTTTGATGAAGGTAAAGGATTCCTGTATAAGATCTTGCGGTGGAGGTCAACTTGCTCCTGTAAAAACGAAGAAAACATTTATGTAAAAGACTGAGTTAATAATTTATCAAAATAGTTTTTCTTGTTTCTTGGCACGCCATTAAACTGAAAGTAAACGGCGGACTGAATCGGCTTTGAAGCCAAGAATCATTCACATAGTTTGTAACAATTTGACAAAGTCTGTCTTTGAGAGTCAATTATTTTTCACTGAAAAGATATTCACCCTATTTTCGGACAAAACTGATAGGATTTTGAGGAGATCCACTTTGTTCTCTTTCAATGACTGCTAATGTGACAACCATAAAGTAAACAAATTTTGTATCTGCTCGTCATTTCACCAGGAGGAGTAGTTCAGACGGCTTCAGACCGCTGATGACCCCCAGGAATGTTTATTGTACTTTCCGACAGTTCGTTAGCCGAAATCAGAGCAGACTGAGGCGCTAGAAGCTCTAACTGCTGGCAAGAAGTTTTCGCAATTTTGCTAACCGACTTCGGAAAAAGCGTTATAAACCAAGTTTTTTTTCTTTGCAAAAAATCTCTAAACGGTGCATGCTTGTAATTTCACCGCCTAACAGCATCGTGGTAGAATAAGTCGGCAAACCCAACGAACTTTGCCTTTCAGCAGTTCAGTCTATTTTTTCTCTCAAATGTCTTACTCATGGAGCTTTCACGGCATACTGCGTCTCTCCAAGAGTTCCCCTCCGCACGCTAACATCAATTTTTTTTATTGACTGGTAAGACGGACTTCCCAGAAAAGGAGGTACAACTCGTGGTCTAATTCGCCAGAAGAAATGATAATTTAATCGCTGCGTACCAACAAAGAATTATTCGATGACTCAGGGGACAATATATCCCTCGATGCTGTCATTTTCATACATCTAAGACATCTTCCTTAGCACTCCTTTTTGATATATTTAGAAATAGCACTGGTGATCACGTTGATGACTGGCAGAAAGTTTCATTTTTCATCAGTCTTTTCCTTTCGGGGTAAAACGTCAAATCTCTTTTAATCTGTAATATTTCTAACTCTGGATGTTATAGCGTCTAGCGGAACCAAGGATTTCGCTCGGGGCAATCTTTCATTGATTGTTAGAGACGTCTAATTTTCGAATCGGTCGCAATTCTGTCGTATTCGCATTACCGGTCAGTACATCATGATAAAGGTAAAGGTAAAGTCTGTTTATGAGCCTAGCGGCCCATTAGGCCGGTGCTTAACTCCGGTTTCTGTAGCATGAAGCGACTAGGAGTATTTCTACTCCCCCCTGGATGGGATGCCAGTCCATCGCAGGGTTACCCCCAGCATTAAATTGCCGGTACCCATTTATACACCTGGGTGAAGAGAGGCACTGTGAGAGTAAAGTGTCTTGCCTAAGCACAGAAGACAATGTCCCGGCCGGGGCTCGAACCCCGACCACTCGATCCGTTTTCGAGCGGACTAACCATGAGGCCACCGCGCCTCCACAGTACATATTGGATCATTTTAAAATCAAAAGCACCAATTCCGTAAATTATTACTCGATAAATATCACTTCCTGTTTTGACTGTTTATGTTGCATACCTTTGATTACAGTTTTAATTCTCCCTTTAAGTTATCACTACCCTGTGAGCAGAGGCTCTTCGATCTTCGTAGATTGGTCGGGAAGATCGAAGGGCCTCAGCTCGCAGGGTAAGTTATCACAAGTCATGGGCAACAACAGTGTTATCTACTCAGACTACTCCAGGGGAGGGGGGGGGGAGGAGGAAACAAGAAGGATCTTCAGATGCTTGTAACCAACTCCCACCACAAGTTATGATCGTAAAACGTATACATCCTGGTTTGTTCCTAAATCCTTGTGAGACACTGCTGTGAAACCCCACCCCTCCCATACTTAAAAAAAATCTACTCGCCCCAATTATCTAATAATGATTATTGAACAGTGAAACTTCCGGCAAAATTCCGAGTCATCAAGAGTACCTAATGTAAGGGAAACATCACTTGTTCTTTGACGGAAGTTTCGATGAGAATCAGGGAGAAAAAAATTCTGAAAAAAGATGACTTATTTAAGTGAAAGTCATTCCGCACAGAGTTTTCAATATTTCATAGTTTGGCTAATTGCCCAAATAAAAGACAATATATAAATTCAAATAGATGCCCGATGTCGTACATTTTTGGAAAATTCCTGACAGGTCAAAGGTTTTCTCTTTGTAAAAGTAGTCCAGGTTCATAGCCCCTCTCCCTAAAAGAGGATTTATTTTTCAATCATCACTTACATG